GGGACCTAATTCAGAAGATTTGAAACTAATGTTCTGGAGTTTAACTATTCTGCTTCCAAAACTAATCAGACCAAGGAATTTCTATGGGAAGCTAAGCACTTGGGTAAGGAATAAGATACACTTAATGTATGAAATCCCTGAGCCTGGTTCTAAGAAGAATACAAACAAATTACTCCCTCACAAATAAGAATCACAACCTAAGCAGAGGGGCAAGAACTATGTAAAACATAGTGAAGCAAAATGTTGAAGAAGTGGAAGAAATTTTTTCAGATTGATATCCAAAAACTTGATATCTTTGCAAAATTGCTTCTTATTCTTCCGTTTTAGACAACTATTTCTTTTTTTCTCTCAGAGACTCCTCATTTAAAAACATATATTTGTTTGTTTGTTTGTTTGTTTGAAAAGTAAAGTAAGAGACACACAGAGGTAGACACAGCTCCCATCTGATCACTGGTTCACTTCCCAGATGCCACAATGGGCAGGATTGGGTCAGCCAAACCTGGAAGCTGGCAACTCAATCCAGCTCTCCAATTTGCATGGCAAAGACCTAACAACTGGACCATCACTTGCTAACTTCTAGGATGCACAATAGCTGGAAGCTAGAATTGGGGACAGAGATGGGATTTAAACATAAAAACTCCAGTGCAGTATCCGGGCATCCCCAGCAGTGTCTTCATATTACCCTAAGCCAAATGCCCACCCTTAAGCAAGTATTTCTTTAAATGCTAATAGTACAGATTCTGGAGCCAGACTGAGTAGGCTGAATGTAGGTCCCACCATGGCTTGGACTCAGTTTCCTTATCACATTTACAAAATTAATGATAATAATAGTACCAAAGTACTCTGATGACTAAGTGAGTAAAATATGTAAGGCACTCAGAACATAGTGTATTAGTTAGTGATCCATAGTTTATCAGATCTGATGCTAAAAGTCAGAAGCTCCAAAACCAAACATTCTTCTGTAACTCATTTGATGGCAAATACCTACTCTGCCCTATATCATACACCTGGCATCAGAAGTTGACCTCATCAAATGTTACCCATGGTTTTTATTAATCCCACTCAATGTGCATTTTGCTGCAAATATCTTAATGGGCTTGCCTTCAGGATGCTGTCTCAGCTTCAATGGAATGTACTTATTAACTTGTTTAAATATGGAAAATATTCAAGTCTAAATTACATTCAACCTCAGAGCTAGAGTGTTGGCTCAACTGGCTAACCCTCCACCTCCAAGTGCCAGAATCCCATGTGGTCACTGGTTTGTGTTCCAGCTGCTCTACTTCCAACCCAACTCCCTGCTTATAGCCTGGGAAAGCAGTGGAGAATGGCTCAGTGCCTTGGGCCCCTATATCCATACGTGGCTCCTGGCTGAGCTGAAAGAGAACCTGGAGAACGAAACTATTACCTGTTTCTTTCCAAACTGTTTTATCATCCATAAATTTATTCTCCCATAAATTTATTATTGCGATAATGCCAGCCTGCCCTAACTTGCCCTCAAATTCTGTCCACAGGATCAGATCACCCAACAGGGAAACGTGAATAAATTGGGAGGAGTACACTGACAGAGTTGGTATCTACAAAGAATGATTCAAAATCAAACACAAGCAAGCTAAGTTTGGTAAATATCTCAGTTTATCTTCCAGAAAATGCCAAGATTTGCAAGTTCACGATGAAGGAACGACCTTGCAGCATGCATTTAGAAGAAAACAAAAAGACTGAGCTAACAAAAAGACTGTGGGCTTGTGAGACAACAGCCCAGTGTGGCTGCTGGAAGAGGCAGAGTGCTACCTCAGCAGCACCACACGCAGAAAGCACACACTGGGATATAAAAGACTGGGAAACAGGTGGCCAGGATGGGCAGGGAGCTGAAACCAGGTTGCATAAGGACCAGTTGAAGAAGTCAGTTATTTAGCCCAGGCTTGAGGGAGCATGATCACTGTCCCCAAACTCCGGAGGAACTGTCACCACACAGAGAGGGTGACCTGTTCTAGAGGGCCTCGGAGGGCAGCTCCAAACCAGCCAGAGCTAAGTGCAGGTCAAAGCATCTCAGCTAAGCTCTTGGAAGTACTAAGGTTCCATCTAGCTTTCAAGGTCCATAATTTAAAAAATCAAACATTTACGTCAGTGTCTTACTGTTAATTAGCGTACTCTCTGATATCATAGCATCTCCCTTCACTTCCTTCGAGTGCCCCATTCAGTCAAGCTCTCAGCACAATGGCTTGCCTGGTTTGGAAGAGAAAGCACCTGCTTACCGGGCAATGAATTTCAACTTGCAGATCACTGGCCCTGTAAATTAAAGAAGGCCCTAATCGAGGGACAGGCAAGAATTCTCAGTTAAATCTCCATGAAAGAATCTTAGTAATTCGGAAAGTGGATCTAACACTTACCAGTTGAACAGTATATTATGAACGGCACTCAGTGTTTACAGAAACACAGAAATAAAAAGTTCTGTACAGCCCTCCCCAGATGCCAGGAAGCACAACTTCACAAGCCAAATTTGCTCTGAAATTGAGTAGAAGTTTTCCCTCAGCCAGTTAAAGAGAAATGTTCTCTCCTTGAAATCGCCTGGAGCCTGAGCACAGGTAAAAGTCCGTTCCTATCATTGGGAAGCCAACACTGCACTCATCAATGGCTACAAAATCAGTCACAAGCAACCCAGGGCTTCTTACTCACAGAAAAGCCCCAAGTAGGTAAAACACAGGAAAGTCACTGATGTTAGACAATCTTATACAACTTTTGTTGCCCAAAGACCACCAAAGACCCCATTTTATGTTAGTCCATAGAAGTTACCAAAAGCCTTGAACAGTTTGCATGACAAATATTCAATAAATCCAGCTTTACTTGAATTAATATGGATTCTGAACGTTCAAAAAAATACATGAGGAACTTAACAACAGCATATTCTCGTTATTTAAAGCGAAGCTTAGATGCAATTTAAGTGTCCATAAGCAGGGGCTTGTTAAGTAAATTATGACATTCTTACAATGGAAAGTGCAATTGTTAGAAAGAATAGGTAAATGCTGAGCACTGACACAAAAAGGCCACAATGGCTACTGAAGTGAACACAGTAAGCTGCAAAACAGTGTGTCCAGGAATATCCACTTTGATGTCTGGAAAACTATTTAAGCTACTATGTATGTGTTTACATGTGTCCAGAAAAAAAATGCTTGAAAAAAGATCCCACAAAGTGGTAGTAGGCACCGCCAGGCTCTGTCTGGAAGCAGCAGGCAGGGAAGGAATGACTTTCACTTTTTCCCTTGTACACTTCTGGCCCTTTGTGCTTTTGCCAGAAAGGGATACTTTTGTAGCCTAAAAGTAACAATGCAAAAAGAATAAAAGTTAAATAATATCAACTAGATACATGTATGTATCAGATATTAACCAAAGTAAGGAAAACTCCTGCTTAAATGCTACAGTGGCCTGCAACTCCATAAAAAAGTGAATTCCTTCTAGTTTTCTTCTATTTCACTAAAACAAATAAGCCAAGCAAGTCCCTCCTAAGTTAGCCACACACACAGAATCCAGCTGAAGCACAGCCAACACACCAACGGTGCTGTCTGTGCGCCAGGAGCAGTGCTAAGCACCCTCAACCTCACACTGTGGATGGCACTCTGTAGAGTGAAGTATTACTGCCTCCATGTTACACTTTTAGAAACTGAGGCTAGGGAGGTTCAAGTGCCCCGACCAGGCTTACGGAGCTCATCCCGGGCACAGCCAGGCTGCGAACTCAAATGTTAACTCCAGAGTCCTAATTCTCAACCACTCCGCTTCCTGTGTCTCCACAAGAAAGCCAACCCAGACACAGGTGAAGCCGGGCACAGCTCGTGTAAACTTGGCCTTTGTGGCTGTAATTCACAATCCTCCTCGTGTCATCGCCAGGCTCTCACCCAAGACTGGAAGACTGTGATAAGGTTCACAACCTTGTGGGAAAATTCTCTACAAACTCAATTATAGTCTCCACCCGACTCCCCAGTAAATCACTGAGCCTTAGAATTAGGTCAGAGATCCAGCCAGACAAATGGTTTGGACTAATCTGCACGCCAGCTTAAAGCAAAACGACACGGAGACTCTTGCTGGAGACGTCTTGACAAGCAGAGTCTTACCTGCTTCGTTCCAGGCCCAGCCGAGAGAAAGTGGGCGAGAGAAGGGGCTGTCTCTAACTTGGCTGTAAGACATCAGCCGGCAGACAGAACCTTCTCCAGGCGGACCCAAGCAGAAACCGGCATTTCTCAGCCCTGGTAAACTTGAACATGCCAGTGGAAAGCACAAAAATGGGAACCCTCGCTTCAGGTATGTTTTTCTGTCCAAACATACTGACCTTGTGCGTGAGGAAGAAAAACACGCGGTGCCTGGGACGGATTCAACCTAGTTTATAAACCTGCTCAACCTAGATCCACACCTGTCCCAAGTGACCTGCTGAGTCCTCCTGTAGGCGTGACAAACACGGCTTACAATGCCTTTGTTATTTTTATTTGGGGCCTCAGAAGGTCCATTTTACTGTTTGTAAACAAACCCCCTCCATGTCTCTCTCCACCTGTCACACACGCACACACCCCTCTTGAGATTTACACCCACAAGAAGGGCCAACCCGGAAATCGGAGCTGCGGCACCAATCCCTGGTTGTCGGTTTTTGACCTCTGGGCTCACGGAGGTGCGGGTGTTGGCCTCCCAACTTCCCCCAAAGAACCCAGGCGGGGAGGCTGAGCGAACACAACCTCAAAGTTTAAGCCCCTCTTGGGTCCCCTGGCCGAGGCCAGAAACCCTCTTTGGAAAGATGCAGCAGCCTCGCTCTCCGGGGGAACACAGCCCAAGGGGGACAAAGACTTTGCCGGTGGGGCGCGTGCGGGGGTGGGGGTGCTCGCGGGAGCTTGGACCTCCCTTTGGGAGCCCAACTCTGGGAGGATTAGAAACCATCGCTTCCAGCCAAGCGCCCGATCCTGCCGCCGAGGGGGCTGGGCAGTGTCCTGCCGTGTCCGGCCAGGGAGGCGGCAGGGACTTACCTGGGGGAGGCGGCGAGGTGGCCTCGGTGGCAGGTGGGGTGGGTGGGACGCTGCTGCTGCTGCTGCTGCTGCTGCTGCTGCTGCTGCTGCTGCTGGGGGAAGCAGGGCTCAGGGTGCGGGAAGCGGTGGGCTCCGGGACCGTGGGCGCTATGGGGGTGGTCGGCACCGGGGTAGTGATCGCCGAGAAGGTGGTGGGCGCGGGTCTGGTGGGCTCCCGAGGGGTGGTCGGAGTGCGATCGCCCGCCCAGGCTGTGGTGGTCCGGCGCGAGGGGCTGACCGGCACCTCGGAAGTGGTGGAAGCGGGTCCGGCGGTCGTCCGAAGAGGGGTGGTCTCGGGAGACCGGGCTGAGGAGGTCGTCGCGGCCAGGGGACTGCGCGGAGGGCCGGTCGTCGGGGCCTGCGCCGTGGGAGCCGTCGCCTCAGGGAAGGGGTGGCTGGGAGCGCCCCGCAGCTCCGGGCCCGGCGACGCGTCCACCTGCCCGTCGGCCCCGCCGCCACCGGTGACATTCCCCACCGAGGCTGCTGAGGCGGCGGCGGCGCAGCACAGCAGGGCGAGGCCGCACAGGCTCGGCAGGCTCCTCATGGCGCGCTCGGCTCCGCCATTCATTCATTCAGCCAGTCGGTTGGTCAGTCATCCTCTCCCTGCGAACCGACCGAGAGAGCCGCCTCAGGCGCCGCCGCCACCGGGCGCACCATCGCCACCTCCCTCTGACAGGCGGCCGGCCCCGCGGGCGGGCCCCAGCGCGGAGGGAGCGACCGGGCCCCGCGCGGACAGCCCGCCCTCCACGAGTGGCAGCAGCGCCCCACCAATGAAAGGCCTGGCCGGCCCACGTGACCCAGGCCTGCGGACCAATCAAAGGGCAAGGAAAAGAGGGGGCGGGAAGTGGGGCGGGAGGAGTGGTGGTGCGAGTCCCGCTCGAGCCGGCCGGGCTCGCTACGGCCGCCGCTTTGTCTGCCCGAAGAGCGGGGCGAGGGCCTCGGGCACTGGGCGCAGCGGAGCAGACAAAGGACGTGCCCCGCGCGGCCAGACGCCAAGCCGAGTCGTCTGTTCCACTAGGCTGCGAGCGCGACCTGGGGCGGGGAATCCGCGAGCAGGAGCGTCCCCGCCCTCCTGAACAATGGGGCGCCGGCGCCGCACCCCGGCTCGGGCTGGCTCGGGCGGGGACTGGGCTGGAGCCCCACGACGGGCGAGAGCCGCAGTAGCCAGGCTGAAAAGCCCAGCGTACCTCCATCCTGTGTCCCGAGAGAGCCTTGGCCTCGGCTCCCCGCGAATTCGGATGATGCTATTCCCATTTCAGGGATGGAGAAACTGAGGCGCCCTCTCTGGGCATCTGATGTTCCAGGCTGCACTCCGGGGTCTGAAGAAAACTCTCTAGGAGGCTGGAGGAGACAGAGACTCCTGCACATACTTGACCCTAAACCCCGGGGTAGGGGAGGGAATGGGGTCAGGTAGGACCTCAACTTCTTGTCTCCAGCTGGGTGCTTTTGTGGCGTGAGCGCGATGCAGTGGAGTTGCTGGGACACCTCCCCCTCCCCCAGAGAGCTGTGCTAAGAATTAAGTCCTGTGCGCCAAGGGTTTAACCCAGTGCCCGCCCACGGTAGCTAACCCTCATTAATGCTAACAACTGTCAAGGCGCACTGTGTCAGGACAAGCCTGGGGTTAGAAAGCCGCCCCGAGGCACGGCCCTGCTGGGTCCCCTGAGCCTCCAGCCCGCAGCCGGGATGGGGCGGGGCTGATCGCACAGCTTGACCCTGGAAGACACCCAACTCGCCCAGAGCTGGGAAACTTGACCCCAAGCGGGACGCTGCAGCCTCCGCCCAGCAGCTTCCATGGGACAGCCCTGCGAGGCGGGTTTGGCATGGGATTCACGGGGCTTCATCGCAACCACCGCTGACCCAACCCTGGCTTCCTGTTAGTCACTGGTCCCTAACCAGACCGGCAGGATGAGATTTGCGTGTGATCCTGTCAATGTTCATGAAAGCATGCGTGTATTTGCCTGTGTGAGTGCTGGGGAGGCGGGGAAGATATGTGTGTGCTTGTATATGGAAAGTGGGATGGGCTCCTGGGGCTGCTAGCTCTTTTTTGTTGTTACGTTGGTCTCAATCTCGGCGTGTGTTTTTATGTGGATCCCCCATGTTTTGGGGTTTTGTGATTATCTGTGCGTGGATCTTGGCAGATCTGCCTGCGGATGCAAGCAGAGGCGGTAGGCAGGGGTGTGTGCAGGTGCCCTGGTTTCTAGGCCAGTGTTTAGAGCAAGGATCAACCAAGAGTCTGGTTTTTATTCCTCTGGGCAGGAGTGGGGAGGGCGGCCAGATCATGCCCCTTTCCCAGTCTTTTGCTAATCCCGCTCCATCCTTTAGACCCCAACCAAAATGATACATTGTCCGAGAGCCGACATCGGAAGGCTGAGTGGGATTTTGTCTCTTCCAGAACCCACTGCCCTTAGCTTATCCACCGAGAGCAGCCCTGATCTATCAGTGCACCTCTTCCTAAAAGGATTATCCGTGGTTTTCGGAAGTACACACGACAGGACACATTCAACTGCCGGCTTCGCACAAGCTTGCATCCGCTTCACACAGGCGCTTGTGTTGGATCCAGCCGTCTGGTCCATCAGGCTGTCTATTCTGAGAGATGGAGGATGGCGCAGTGCACCTGAGCACTCATGCATGCTGAATGAATTGAATTAAATTGAAAAGAGACTCTGTGGTGCCCGGGGGGAAAAAACAGTGTCTTTAGACTCAGACAGACGTGGGCATGACTCTGCCAGCCATGTGTCCTTGGAGGAAACTTTTAACCTCTCCGAGCCTCAGCTTACTCACCTGGATATTGGGGTCAATTAATCCTCTGCCATCACATTGAGATGAGGATGGAAGAAAATGTCCTTCAAGATCCTGTCCCTGGCAGTGCTCAGTCTGTGTAGGCTGCCATTTCAATCAGACCCTTCCAAACTTTGGATCTTGCAGGCTATAGGACCACAGTAGAAACTGCTGGCCCACAACTTCCTTGTCAGGTGACATGAACTGAGAGTTGCTCTACCAGATTATTTCCAAACGATATCTGAAAAAATGCTGGGGTAGCCTAAAGCTGTGCTGTATCACAGGTTGCCTGGCGAGAGAGAGAGAGAGAGAGAGAGAGAGAGAGAGAGAGAGAGAGAGAGAAGCTGATGCAGCTGCTCTGCCAGGAGAATCACAAAGAACTGGAAGAGCTGGCTGAGGAGGCCAGGCCAACCCTCTGTCTCAGGTCTATGGTGGGATAACTAGCCCAGGCTATGAACAAAGTGTTGAGTGATTTTGAAAATTACCCAAGTTTATTAATGTCGGTTCACTCAGCCTTGATTTTTTTTTTTTTAGATTCATTGTTCTGCCTTCATCTTTAAACTGCAACATGATTTTTTTTTAATTTGTTTTAATTTGTTAGAAACTATCTTGAGGGCCTGGCACAGTAGCCTAGTGGCTAAAGTCCTCGCCTTACATGTGCTGGGATCCCGTATGAGTGCCGGCTCTAATCCCAGAAGCCCCACTTCCCATCCTGCTCCCTGCTTGTAGCCTGGGAAAGCAGTAGAGAATAGTCCAAAGCTTTGGGATCCTGCACCCATGTGGGAGACCTGAAAGAGGCTCCTGGCTCCTGCCTTCGGATTGTGTCAGCTCTGGCTGTTGCGAACAGAAGATCTTCCTCTCTGTTTCTCCTCCTCTCAGTATATCTGACTTTTAAAAAAATTCATCTTGAGTTTAAAAATTGACAACACTTTAAATATCCAGTGCCACAGAAAGGTGTTACATCTTTTGAATCATGCAGTCACTGCAAGGGAAGCAATGGAGACTGGCAAGTAGTACTAACAAATAACTGAATTCTTACCAGGTGTGCTGCACTGTACGTGCCAGGAACTATACCTGGATTATTTTGCTTAATTTCAAGAACAGCTCCAGAAGTAAGTATATCTGTTGGGCTGCATATCAAAGTACCTTAAACTGGATGGCCTAGAAGTAACAGGGAGTTACTTCCCACAGTCCTGGCTGCTGAGATCCCCAAAACCAAGGCAGTGACTGTTGCAGCTTCCGGTGAGGACCCACTTTCTGCTTCACAGACGTCTCTCTTTCTCCCAGGTCTTCAAATAGCAGAACAGGGAGGGCTGCTTTCCGGAGTCTCTTTTTACAAGGACCATAATTGCCTTTATCAGGATTCCGTTCTCAAGAACTAATCACCCACTCAGGGCCCCGTTTCCTCGTCTATCACATGGGAAGTTGGATTTTTTTTTTTAAGATTTATTTTTTTATTGGAAAGGCAAATTTACAGGGAGAAAGAGAGACAAAGATTTTCCATCCACTGCTTCACTCCCCAAACAGCCACAATGACTGGAGCTGAGCTGATCCAAAGCCAAAAGCCAAGAGTTTCTTCCAAGTCTCCCACATGGCTGCAGGGTCCCAAGGTATTGAGACATCTTCCAGTGCTTTCCCAGTCCACAAGCAGGGAGCTGGAGGGGAAGTGGAGCAGCCACGATACAAACTGGTGCCCATATGGGATACTGGTGCTTACAAGGGGAGGATTAGCCAATTAAGCCATTGCGCTGGGACCAGGGAGTTGGATTTCATCAAATGAGTTTAAGGGGACACATTCACTCTAGAGCATAGTAATTTCCAGGTTTTACTGATAAAGAAACAAGGGTACAGAAAGGTTCCACAGCTTTTCCAAGGTCACTTAGTAAGTGGTTGAACCAGAAATGAAACTGAAGAAAGCTGGTTCAGTTTGTTAACCTTAACTGTCATGGATAAAGGCTCATGACGTAATGGCAAGAAGAAAATGAAAAAGAAAAGTAACAGCTGTGCCACTCTGTGGATCACAGTGTTGCCTGCCAATTTCCCTATTGCCCCAAATGCGGCAAAGGCCTGGGATGCCCAACACAGCTACCCACCCAGCCATTGTACCTAGAGCCTTTGGGCTTAATAAGGGAGTGCAGAAGAGGAGGCAGGTTGGGGCAGTGAAGCAGCTGGCCTGACTCCTGCAGGCCACTTTGGGCCTGTAACGGCCCAGGCTGATTCTTACACAGTCAGCACCTAGCCCAGTGTCAAAGACACAGAAGAGGCTCAAGACGTGTTTGCTGAGCCACAAGAAGTCATAGGACATGACGCTCACTGGTCCAGGAGATTTGCATTCTTCATTTATTCTCACATGCAGGGCTATCACTCACACTTGAAAGAAGCCCCTAAGAGGTTAAGTAGATTGCCCAAGATCTGCCTCCATCCAAACCTCAGGTGCTTAGTCCCAGAGTCTGCCACCAAAGCCACTATGAGTTGCAGGAAGTAGGATGCTAATCAACTCATACTGAAAGAAAGGATGAGTACACACACACACACACACACACACACACACACACACACAGAGCAAATTTAACCCTCCTGCTAGAGCAACATTTAAGGATAGAGAAAAGAAAACACAATAATACGGTAGACGTGGTTTGGCAAAAATAACTTCATCTTCTAGATTCCAATACTGGGAAAACATGGAAACTTTCCCCCTTCTGATTTTATTGAAATAGCAGTGCTGACACAAACTATTTCTAATCCTGCTGGGGCCTGGCCTCCCATCAGAGGCAAGGCTAAATGCAAGGTTTGGCATCTTCTGCAAACAACTATAGGATTACTGGGCCACTATGCACAAAGTCTGCCCAGCAAAGGGCAGTAACTGACAACTCAC